GAATCAGTTTGTGTAATCCATACAGATTAGCTTCCTGGGGGAAGGAAGTAGAGTGAAAATGAATGGAGAGTATTTGGGGAGAAGCAAATGATGATACCTGGCAGATCTATATCAAGCTGGTATTCGCAAGGTAGCTGCTGTGGGCCTAGGGAGGTTAGATTTACCCAGAAATAAATTTTGAAATCTTACAGGTAGCTCCAAACTATCTGTCCAAATCCCAAGAGCCCTTAATACCATATGGCTTGGTTTTACCATCTTTTATCCACTAAACATCTATTCTGTAAGTCACTGTAAGGGAATTTATTTCTTTATGTTCTAGTGTAAGACTTAGAAATCAAAATATTATCTTTTATCTTAAGAACATTGTTAAAAATTTTCAATTAAGGAACCAATGCAGACTTCATCTCAAACCCACCTCTCCAACAGACGCTTTCCCAAGTGGCAGGATATAGTAATTACTAATTTTCTCATTAAAGTACTGAAAACTTTAAAAGAGAAAGGAACAATATTCTGCATTTCCGTGGCCCCCATTACCAAAGCACCTAGCAGCAGCTTCATATCCTTTGTATTCAAAGCACCTTTACATCCTTTTATTAGTGACCAGAGGCCCAGTGCACAACATTTGTGCCTGGGGGTGGGGGGTTCCTCAGCCCGGCCTGCACCCTCTCGTAATCCAGGACCCCCCCCCCCGGGGGGATGTCCAACTGCCAGTTTAGGCCCAATCATGCAGGGATCAGGCCTAAACCGGCAGTCAGACATCCCTCTTGCAATCTGGGACCACTGGCTCCTAACCACTCGCCTGCCTGCCTGCCTGATCACCCCTAACCACTCTGCCTGCCTGCCTGATCACCCCTAACTGCTCACCTGCCTGCCTGATCACCTCTAACCACCTTTGCCTCGGCCCTGCTACTGCGGCTTCATCCAGAAGGACGTCCAGAAGGATGTCCAGAAGGTCTTTCGGCTGTCTGGTCTAATTAGCGTGTTACATTTTTATTATTATAGATTCCCTTCATTATATACTGAAAGTAGAGCAAGGTTGTTCTGTTTTGCTTTTGCAATTAATAAGCCTTTAGGGAAAAAAGATTAGGTGACTGCCTAAGATCATGTAGTAGAATAAAATTAGATCTAGGAATCTAATTGATGTTAAAAACAGCAATAGCACCTCAAGAAACAACTTCTGACTCTGAGGTCAAGAATATGGCTAACAAAATGGCTTTTACAGATTCAGAAACAAATTGAATTATGTATAGCCAGCGAGCTCTTCAGTATAGAAATTGCATTAGTCAAAGTAGCCAAGGTATGCTGCACTAACAAGCAGCTCTAACATCAGAGTGGTTAATACATACACATCTTCTGGGGTTTGACATCTTTTCTCTCTTATCCTTCATATTTAATAAATTACCAAGTCCTGTCAATTCTTTCTTCCAAATACTCTCTGAATCCCTATTATCATGGACACTATTTTAGTTCAGACCACTATTATTGCTTTAAGTCTCTTAATTGATCTCTTTGCCTTCAGTCTTGTTTTCTATAGTAGAGATGGTTAATTACACCCAATAGCCACATTCCCTTCTTCCTTTTGGTAATAGAATTGAGCACCATGCCTCCCAGCTAGAAACTATAGTTCCCAACCTCCCAGGCAGCTCCATATAGCCAAACCACAATGTCACCTGATCAAGTAGGTTCTGGTCAATAGCTTGAGAATGGAAGTGAAGGGTGCACCTTCTTAACCACATTTTTTAAAACAGAGATGCTACCCAGCCAGCATGGTTCATGATCCATAGTTGAGCATGGACCTATGAACCAGGAGGTCACAGTTCGATTCCTGGTCAGGGCACATGCTTGGGTTACAGGCTCAATCCCCAGTGTGGGGCATGCAGGAGGCAGCTTGTCAATGATTCTCTCCCATCATTGATGTTTCTATCACTCTTTCCTTCTTCCTTCCTCTCTGAAATCAATAAAAATATATATATTTTTAAAAAACCACAGAGATGCTCGTCTTCTTTCCCCTATATGCACTCTGGACTATAATGAGACAGTGGTGAGTCAGATTCAAACTTGCAGGTGAACAGCACAGTAGGGGATGTAGGAGCCACAAGATAAAAGGAAGCTTCTCCTGGACTTTTTGCCACAGGTAAACTTTTAAGTGAAAGAGAAAGAAATATTCTTTCTTGTGGAAGCCACAGTTAATATCCTATTAATGCCTTTTCTCTCCCAGCCAGAAAATTTTTTCCTGCAACCCAGCTCAAAGGATCTTATTACACAGCAAATCTGATTAGGTCATTGCCCCTTGTCTTATTTATTTTTGTAGCCTTCAGGGGGCTTGGTACATGATCTTGTTTATAGCAAGAATCCACTAATATTGATTGTCGATTGATAAATTATTAAGTTTATTTTCTTATGCTACCTAAATTATAAAATTTAACTTTTTAATTGCATGCCACATCAAGCATAATCAATGGATAAAATATCAGCTTCCTTGGCTTCTGAAATCACTTTAGATGGGCTTCACCTCCCCAACTCCATTATCTCATGACCAAAGGCTCAGCAATCTTTCTGATGATGAGACTTATCCGCCAACAATGCAATTCCTACGTGTGTCACTGGTCACCTTGAAAGCAAGGGAAGAATTAGCAAGAAGGGAGGAAGAGTAGAGAAAACAACACAGAGCTCTGTTTAGTGAGAGGTAGTAGAGAGTCATTAGAAATTTATTTATACCACTTGGTGATGTAGGCTATACTTCTGATCATTACACATTAAGTCATAATGTTTTTAGGTACCGCAGTTCTGCTAGGAAGATAATCATTACAAATTTAGATTTCAATTCAGCCAATATCTGTTGCGTCCCTAATATGTACCAAGGACTGTGCATGAGAAAATCTCCTAAAATAGTGCAATGATTGAAGCTCAACTTGCTCTCCAGAGAGGGTTTCTAGACTACCTGAGGCTTGGCAGGATCTACCAGAACAAGAACATATTTTCTATGTCCTTAAAATCAATCCTACCAAGTTCTAATCGGCTCAACCCCTAGAGTTGGCCTAAATGGGGATAGTGTCAGAAACTCCATCAAGTTCAGAGCTACCTCCTCCCCTAAATATATGTTTTTAAAAGCTTTGCTATTTTTTCTCCTAGTATAAAATGTCTAAATTTGATAGCTAAGAGTCGTCAGTGAAATGCTATCATAAAATGCCATCGATAATGCAGTTGGTTTTCACAAAGCACTCCATTACACTTGTCATTTGGAACTAAAAGCCACATTTTTGTGTGACACACAGAACAAATTGCACCAGACAAATAAAAGCACCTGGGCAACTGATGCCTTCAGCTGGGTTCTTGTAATTCCTCATTATTTTGTTCACTTAATCTTCTTGTTCTTGTTTTTTTTTTAATTCAAATTTTGCACCTCAAAGAAATTAACGAATCTAGACGTTAAAAGGCAACTAGGGTCATTTGTAATCCAACGCGTTCTTGTTCACTGTGAAGTTTTGAAGTGATACAAGTTTCGTTGCTTTTACCCCAGACTGTAGTTCACAAGGCAGAGAACAAAGTAACAAGTTTTAAGGCAATGTAAAAAACCAGCATGCTTTTTAAAAATTCATCTGAGTTTTAAACCCACTAAAGTTTTGAAAATACCTGCTAACCTGAACAGAAGAAACACCTGAAGCCTTGAGGCAGAGTCGCTTTCTGAAGGAAAAAAAAACCCCCACAACATTAATATTTCATGTGGAAGGAATTTTTCAAGGTACATACCAGTTCTCCAAACCAGTGAGAGAGATCACATTCATCTCCAGCTCAGGTCTGTTCCATCTGGGGGAAGGGTGTCAGACAAATTCTAAACATTACACCCCTGCTTCCTTGTTCAGCAAAAGCACCATACTTTGAAAGACAAAAGAAATCATCATCATCGCTATCATCATCACTATCATCATCATCAACAACAATAACTGCTAATGTTTCTTAAGTGCTGACTGTGTGCCGAGCTCTATATTATTAAGCACTTTATCTGAATTATCAAGTTTTTAAATTATATCAACCCTTTGAGATGGATGTTCATGCCCTTTGAGGAAACGGAGGTCTAGAGAAGTTATGAGTTAATGTTGCACAACTAGTAAGTGGCAAAGCAAAGATTTAAACACTATTTTTTAAAACATTAATAGACTTTTTTGGAGCAGTTGTAGGTTCACAACAAAAGTGAGTGGGAAGTACAGAGAGTTCCCATATAACCGCTGCCCCAGCCCCACATGCACAACCTTCCCCACAATGTTAAAGAAAATTGGAAGTTAAATTGGTGTCTTTAAGTGTTTGGTGCATAATAAGTGAAATTATAACACAAAATGCCATCTCAACTGCTAGGAACCACAAAGTATTTGACATAGGGTCTCAAGAAATGAAAAAAAAAGTTTTTAGGAAAGTATTTGTTTTCCAACAACCATCAGCTAATTTAATGGTGGTTTTACATTTTGACACCTGCTGGGAAAGAGTGCTAAAATAGCAGCAGCTCCCACTAAGAGGGGTTAACTGCTTGCTTTGTAGACACCAAGCTAGTGATACAGGGCATCACTGTTGCATAGTGATGATAGACGGTGTTGTGGGTCTTCTCTCCAGGATATCCTGACCTCAACTTTCCTCAGGTTGCTGGAGATGGATAGATAGTGCCAGGTCTGTGCTGAAAGAATTCTCAGGACCTCATGTAAATAGTTAAATTCACAATAAACTTGATCTAAATTACTAAGGGTCCAAAATTTACTTCCTGACTATGGATATTCTAAAGACCCAATAGGAGTCTTGTTCCTTTCAATTTGTTCATAAGTATTCACTTTTCTTCAGTGAAAAATAATTATAATAATTATTGTTAACATTTGGGGACTTACCCTTTGCTAGGTTCTGTGCTAATAATGTGGCATGCATTATTTATCATTCTTCGTTCTCCCACCACTGAGATGGGTGCTATCATTATTTTCATTTGCATGTATGGCTTCTCTAATTTCCGTTTCACACAGTGACTAAAGTGGTGGAGTCCAGTGTTGAACCTGGCAGTTTAACTCCACCGCCTACCCTCTTAACTGCTATTCCACCAACCACTCCTCCCCATAGAGGAAAAAGTATTAATCATCTTTGAAAATTTTACAGACCATAATTATGCAGTGCTCTATTCATCACTACCACCTAAGTAACCATATCATCTTCTCTGAGAGCCTCTCTGTGTTCTATAAAATGTCTCATTCTTGCCTGAGGCATAAACACTGAGGAGTGGGAAGCGGGGGTGCAGAAAGAAGGGGCCTTCTCACCACTGGAGAGCTGATTAACTTACAATTAGCAAAGGTCCCTTTCTGAAACTTTCACTTGGGGGCCTAGAATTAAAACTTAGTCACTGAATCCTATCTCTCTTGTGGGGATGAAGATCCATCACTTTCCAGATCTCAGGCCTCCTCTCCAAGGCTCAGTGGAGGCAGTTCCCTGACATGGAGTTTCCACGTGGGGCCTCTGCAAGGCATATATGTTGTATATGCCTTGTGTGCTGATTCTCAAAACTTGACCTTTTTCTTTCTCAACTGCATAATATGAAAACAAACAGAGAAGATGGAAATATTTAAAAATAGTACAATGGATAGCCATACACCCATCATCCAGATTCAACACCCATAACCCTACTACTTAGATGTTAACATGTGTTGGCATATTTGAATATATCTATTTATTTATCATGACCCTTCACTACTGAAAACTGCAGTGTACATCTTCTAAAAATAAGAATATTCTCTTATGTAGTCATATACCATTAACACATTTAAGGAACTTAATAATATTTCCCTAATATCATATAAGACCCAGTCCAAATGCAAATTTCCTCATTTGTCCCAAAATTGTGTTTTATGGCTGATTTTTAAAACTAGTATTAAGACAATTGTATGCATTGCATTTGGTGTATCAATTTAGCATTTTTTATTGAAGAAGAATTTCCCCCATCCTTCCCCCCCCCTTTTTAATGACATCTACATTATTTATTTATTTAACAATTTAAAAAAATTTTTATTGATTTTTTAGAGAGAGAGAGGAAGGGAGAGAGATAGAAATATTGATGAGAGAGAAACATAATTGATTAGCTGCTTCCTATATGTTCCCCACTGGGGTCAAGCCCCCAACCTGGACATGTGCCCTGACTGGGAATAGAACTAATGACCTCTTGGTTTCTGGGTTGATGCTCAACCACTGAGTAACACTGGCCAAGCCATGACCCCAACATTTTGAAGATACCAAGAAGTTCTTGTGTAACGTTCCACATTCTGTATGTGTTCTATTGTTTACTCTTGGAGTCATTTAACCTGATTCTCTAGCTCTTAAATTATTCTAAGTGAAATAAGCCGGATATGGAAAGACAAATACGAATAATCTCATTTTTATGTGGCATCTACAATAGTCGAACTCATAGAAGCAGAGAGTAGAATGATGGCTACTAGAGATTGGAAGGAGGAGAAAATGAGGAGGGGATGGTCAAAGGGTACGAGGTTTCAGTTTTATGCAAGATAAGTAAGTACTAGAGATCTACTATATAGCTTAGTGCCTATAGCTAGCATGAATTGTATATTTAAAATTTGGGACGAGGCTAAATCTTGTGCTAAGTGTTCTTACCACACACCACATCATCATCATCACCATCACCATCATCGTCATAATGGGGGTGAGAGGAAATTTTGTGAGGTGTTAGATATGTTTCTGGCCTTGATGGTAGTGATGGTTTCACAAGTGTATATTTATCCCTAAACTCACTGAGTTGTTTAAATATGTACAACTTTTTATATATTAATCATACTGAAGTTTTATTTTACAAACTTAAGGAAATACATAAATGCATTCTTATTTTCCCTCCTTGCTTACACATAAAAATAACGTACAGTGTGAGGTATAGGCCCAATTTTATTCCTGTTCAAAAAGATTATAATAAAGAAAATAGATTTGTAGCTTCATATGTTTAGATATTATACAAAAGATGTCCTCCCTTACAGATGGAAACAGTGGGAGTCATACTAACTTTCTATAGTAGAATCTGGCAACTTTTTTTGCCCTGTTATTCAAATGGAGACGATTGCTCCTGGTGCACCCTGAAACACACACACACACACACACACACACACACACACACACTATAATAATCATTTTGGTAAAAAGACTAGATGTTAGCCTGGCCGATGTGGCTCCGTGGTTGAGTGTCGACCTCTGTACCAGGAGGTCAGACTTAGACAGGGTACATGCCCAGTTGTGGGCTCGATCCCCAGTGTGGGGTGTGCAGGAGGCAGCCAATCAGTGATTCTCTCTCATCATTGATGTTTCTATCTCTCTCTCCCTCTCCTTTCCTCTCTGAAATCAATAAAAATATATTTTTAAAATAAAATAAAGTAGTTAAAAAAAGAGACTAGATTTTAGATTTTGATAACAAGTGTCTTCACTTTCTGTTTGACATTAGTCTTTTTGTCAAGGTCCTTACAATTGTGTCTGCTTTTTCTAATAACATTGATAATAAAACCTTAAGCAAACAACAAATGTTTTGCATTATAAATAATGCATAGAACCCCAAAGTACATAAAGCAAAAATGATATAACAAAGTAGAAATGGATAATTCTGCAAGCATAGTTGGATATTTCGACACCCTTCCCTCAGTGATTGATGAAGTAGACAGAAAATACAGAATCAGATGAGTTGGCGCTAGCTAGGCAGATCTTACGTATTATTGGTGACTGCTGATTCTTTTCTGAAGTTCCAGTTGCTTTGACTACCAATATTCCTCATTTTCTGATGTCTGGCATGGAATGTGCTTAATGTGGCCTTCCTGATTGGTTGAGAACTTGGAAAAAATAAGAGTATGAAATCTGCATAACCTGCAATCCATGGTATGGAGATTATTTTAAACAAGCAAACTGAGACTTGAACTGCACTGATTGAAGGATTGAAGAACATTTCAAGAAATAACCACCACCATATATGATTCAGGAAAACCACCCAGAGTTATTGTGCTGTAAGGACCTTCAAGGTCCTTGAGAATGAGTTGCTCCTACCAACACCCCCCTTACCCTTTGATGTCCTGCAAATGACCCACAGGTATCCAGAACCCCATGAGGAAATGAGAACCTTTGCCTTTAATCTTGAAAAAATTGACACAGTTTGAAAATGGACTGAAAGGATGTGCTCTAATAGGTCATCTAACTCTATAATGATGAGGAAGTCCAAAACCTCTCCTCTGAATCACTCTGGTTCAAGATTTTATATCTCAGAGCTATTCCAGTTATGTAGGAAATATAGAAAACTCATATTGCATCTTGCATTCTCACTGATTAACAAAGAACAAGTACCAGGCATGGAAGAAATACTGAGAGTGTGTATGATAGTGTCTAAGTCATCTGGGGAAGAACCCTGGCCCATGGTTGCTCTTTGGTTAATGGGGCATGCAGATGAACATTACAGCAATAGGTTCCTATGAGAGTTTTTTACAAAGGCTGAGTCCATGAGATAGTCAAAACTCAAGGCAGAGTGATTCATGTTATACCAGCCATGAAAGGTTTTGAGAAAAAGGAATAGAAGTTATTCAAGTCTGGTTGTACTGTGGAACAGAAAGGATTTTGAAGGTGTAAGCTGGAAATCTGTGAATATTAACACTGAGCAAAAGGGCAGGCTTCTTGCCTGAGTATTCCTTAGAAACAAGTATATTTTACCAGTTTCTGGTATGTGACTTATACTCTGAAAACTCATTGTGGACCTTTATTGTCACGTGTTTGCTTGAATTTTCAAGCTTTGGATGTACTAAAACTCTTTGAAAGTAGAAATCAGGAGGCAGACACATCTTCAACAGAATAAATAAATGATAGACCTTTATCACATTCAACCAAATAACTTTTAAGGTAAACATGTAAACAAAATTGAGGGAGAATGTAAAAGGATAAAACTGAGGCGGAAGGAAGTTATCTGGGGCTGCTCAGACTTCAAAGCCATTGGGCTCCTTAGGTTTCCTTCTTAGAATCTGACTTTTCTAGAAAATGGTGAGATCCACACCGATTATCACATAACAAACACCCAGCCTTTGGATAAACCAGTAAGCTTAATTTTTCTGTTAAACTTGGAGAAATAGGAGATTAAAGACCTCTTCAACAGTTAGGCAGAGCCATTGTTTGGAATGGAACATGTTGCTCATTGTGATGGACTGCTCTCCGAGTGCTGCCTTCTTCCTTTGCAGCTGTGCCAATCATAGTATATAGAGAGCAGCAATCCTCAGATCCTCAACCAAGGAGGCTGGGGATACAGAGAGGAACTAAGAACTTTTTTTTTATTGCTTAAAGTATTACAACAAGTATTACATAGGTCTCCTTTTTTTTTTCTCCCCTTGACATTCCCCCGGGCTCCCCTACCCCCCAGTTTCTTATGTCCATTGGTTATGCTTATATGCATGAACTAAGAACTTTTTATGGTTGTTGGGCCTAAGAACTGTTTGTCAGGCCAAACTGTAATATCTGCTACCTCCCTCCGCATAATAAAAGATTATTATTATTTTTGGTTCAAGTGTGCATGGAGTCTACAAAGTATATAAAAAAGGGGGAAAGTGAGAAGAGAAGCCGATACAGCAATTTTGTCCGAAGGCTGTGCTTGTACTCCATGCTCACTAGGTTTGGTGCTAAGAAAGTTTTCCAACAGCCAGCCTGTGTTATAAACTAGACCGGAGCACTTCATTTTGGCCCTTGGGAGATTAACCAGCCACTTGAATGCTGATTTAGTGCTTAAAGGACTAAAGACTTTAAAAGTCATGGGGCTGTAGCTTGCAGAGTTTTGAAAATAAATCTTACAGGCTGCAATGCCAGGCAGTGCAGCTGCATATATTTAAAGGGGCCAAGGTTTGTCTCAATCAATTTCGATGAATTCCCAAGTAAGATAATGTCTTCAAATTATAATATACTTCCCTCCTGCAATTTTTCCCTCCAAAGAAACCATCTATTGAAACATTTTTAACCCTACCACTTTAATGTAAATACATATGCTTCATAGTCCATTGGTGCTGTGGACAAAATACCATAGTTTGTTACTGAGGCAAAAATTGACTGACAAATGACATTAAAGGAAATATTTGTTAATGGTGT